TGAGATTAGTCACGAGGGAGCATACACCAAATTCAACTTCAATAACAAAAACATAAAGTGGGACCAAGTAAACCAAGTCCTAACCGATATAAGCTGGGAAGATATACTAAGCAACACAGACCCCAACTTATGCCTAGAACAGATTAACTTGGTGGCACTCGATGTATGCACAAGGCTTATTCCTCTAAGAAAAAGGAGGAGTAGATGTAAAATAGAAAGAGACAGGCGCTCCCTTTACAGGCGACGGAAAAGAATAAATGAGCGGCTAAAAGAGGTCAATATATCTGAAATGCATAGGGAGACACTGGTCAGAGAAATAGCAAGCATCGAACTTAAAGTAAAAGGACACAAGTGCAACTAATGTGACATTTATTGTGGCAACGTTTTGCTCTCCAGGAGCTTTATCAAGCCTGATAAAGCTCCTGGAGAGCGAAACGTTGCCACAATAAATGTCACATTAGTTGCACTTGTGTCCTTTTACTTTACGTATTGTCGGTAATTCTACCAACTTTATTACACATCGAACTTAAGCTAAAGGAATCTTATACGAGTCAGGAATCGCGGGAAGAACTAAAAGCCATAAATGAAATCGAAAGAAACCCAAAGTATTTCTTCTCCTATGCCAAATCAAAGTCAAGAACAACGTCCAGTATTGGGCCCCTACTTAAACAAGATGGGTCCTACACAGATGACAGCAAGGAAATGAGTGAGCTACTCAAGTCCCAATATGACTCAGTTTTTAGCAAGCCGCTAACCAGACTGAGAGTCGAAGATCAAAATGAATTTTTTATGAGAGAGCCACAGAATTTGGTTAACACAAGCCTATCCGATGTTATCCTGACGCCAAATGACTTCGAACAGGTGATAAATGACATGCCCATGCACTCTGTCCCAGGGCCAGACTCATGGAACTCCGTGTTCATAAAGAACTGCAAGAAGCCCCTATCACGAGCCTTTACCATCCTATGGAGAGGGAGCATGGACACGGGGGTCGTCCCACAGTTACTAAAAACAACAGACATAGCCCCACTCCACAAAGGGGGCAGTAAAGCAACAGCAAAGAACTACAGACTGATAGCACTAACACCCCATATCATAAAAATCTTTGAAAGGGTCCTAAGAAGCAAGATCACCACCCATCTAGAAAACCATCAGTTACACAACCCAGGGCAACATGGGTTTAGAACAGGTCGCTCCTGTCTGTCTCAACTATTGGATCACTACGACAAGGTCCTAGATGCACCAAAAGACAAAAAGAATGCAGATGTAATATATACAGACTTTGCAAAAGCCTTCGACAAGTGTGACCATGGCGTAATAGCACACAAAATGCGTGCTAAAGGAATAACAGGAAAAGTCGGTCGATGGATCTATAATTTCCTCACTAACAGAACACAGAGTAGTAGTCAACAGAGTAGTCCGAGGCAGCTACGGTGAAAAGCTCTGTTCCACAAGGCACAGTACTCGCTCCCATCTTGTTTCTCATCCTCATATCTGACATAGACATAGATGTCAGCCACAGCACCGTGTCTTCCTTTGCAGATGACACCCGAATCTGCATGACAGTGTCTTCCATTGCAGACACTGCAAGGCTCCAGGCGGACATCAACCAAATCTTTCAGTGGGCTGCAGAAAACAATATGAAGTTCAACAATGAGAAATTTCAATTACTCAGATATGGAAAACACGAGGAAATTAAATCTTCATCAGAGTACAAAACAAATTTTGGCCACAAAATAGAGCGAAACACCAACGTCAAAGACCTGGGAGTGATCATGTCGGAGGATCTCACCTTCAAGAACCATAACATTGTATCAATCGCATCTGCTAGAAAAATGACAGGATGGATAATGAGAACCTTCAAAACTAGGGGGGCCAAGCCCATGATGACACTCTTCAGGTCACTTGTTCTATCTAGGCTGGAATATTGCTGCACACTAACAGCACCTTTCAAGGCAGGTGAAATTGCTGACCTAGAAAATGTACAGAGAACCTTCACGGCGCGCATAACGGAGATAAAACACCTCAATTACTGGGAGCGCTTGAGGTTCCTGAACCTGTATTCCCTGGAACGCAGGCGGGAGAGATACATGATTATATACACCTGGAAAATCCTAGAGGGACTAGTACTGAACTTGCACACGAAAATCACTCGCTACGAAAGCAAAAGACTTGGCAGACGATGCAACATCCCCCCAATGAAAAGCAGGGGTGTCACTAGCATGTTAAGAGACCATACAATAAGTGTCAGGGCCTGAGACTGTTCAACTGCCTCCCAGCATACATAAAGGGAATTACCAACAGACCCCTGGCAGTCTTCAAGCTGGCACTGGACAAGCACCTAAAGTCAGTTCCTGACCAGCCGGGCTGTGCTCGTATGTTGGTTTGCGTGCAGCCAGCAGTAACAGCGTGGTTGATCAGGCTCTGATCCACCAGGAGGCCTGGTCACAGACCGGGCCGCAGGGGCGTTGACCCCCGGAACTCTCTCCAGGTAAACTCCAGTTGGCGATCCAGAAATGTGTATGCACAAATAAAGAGGGAGGCGGAGCGGCAGTATGAAAACGACAGAGCATCGAAAGTTAAGTATGACCTGAAACTGCTTTACAGCCACATCAGGAGGAAGACAACAGTCAAGAACCAAGTAATCAGGCTGAGGAAAGGTGGGGAGCTCACAAGAAACAACCAAGAAGTATGTGAGGAGCTCAACATGAGATTTCAGGAAGTATTTACAGTGGAGGTTGAAGGGACACTGGGAAGACAAAACAGTGGGGTACATCAACAAGGGATATACCAACAAGTGTTGGATGAATTACATACAACTGAGGAGGAAGCGTAGAAGCTCCTAAGTGACCTTGATACCTCAAAGGTGGTGGGACTGGACATCTCTCCGTGGGTCCTTAGAGAGGGAGCAGAGACACTACGTGTGCCACTAACCAAAATCTTCAACACTTCCCTTAAAACTGGGCAACTACTTGAAGTATGGAAGAAGGCAAATGTAGTCCCCAACTTTAAGAAAGGAGACAGAAATGAAGCACTAAATTATAGACCAGTGTCACTGGCGTGTACAGTATGCAAAGTCATGGAGAAGATTATCAGGACGAGAGCGGTGGAGCACCTGGAGTTTACCTGGAGAGTTCCAGGGGTCAACGCCCCCACGGCCCGGTCTGTGACCAGGCCTCCTGGTGGATCAGAGCCTGGTCAACCAGGCTGTTACTGCTGGCTGCATGCAAACCAACATACAAGCCACAGCCTGGCTGGTCAGGTACCGACTTTAGGTGCTTGTTCAATGCCAGCTTGAAGACTGCCAGGGGTCTGTTGGTAATCCCCCTTATGCATGCTGGGAGGCAGTTGAACAGTCTTGGGCCCCTGACACTTATTGTATGGTCTCTTAACGTGCTAGTGACACCCCTGCTTTTCATTGGGGGGATGTTGCATCGTCTGCCAAGTCTTTTGCTTTCGTAGTGAGTGATTTTCGTGTGCAAGTTCGGTACTAGCCCCTCTAGGATTTTCCAGGTGCATATAATCATGTATCTCTCCCGCTTGCGTTCCAGGGAATACAGGTTCAGGAACCTCAAGCGCTCCCAGTAATTGAGGAGTGGAACAAGATTATAAACAACAGCCAGCACGGATTCATGGAAGGCAAATCCTGTGTCACAAACCTACTAGAGTTTTATGACAAGGTAATTGAAGTAAGAAATGAGAGGGAGGGGTGGGTTGATTGCATTTTCTTGGACTGCAAGAAGGCCTTCAACACAGTTCCTCACAAGAGATTACTACAGAAGCTAGAGGAACAGGCACATATAACAGGAAGGGCACTGCAATGGATCAGAGAATACCTAACAAGGAGGCAACAATCAGTCATGGTCCATGATGAGGTATCACAGTGGGCGCCGGTTACGAGCGGCGTCTCACAGGGGTCAGTCCTGGGACCAGTGCTATTCTTGGTATATGTGAATGACATGACAGAAGGGATAGACTCAAAAGTGTCCCTGTTTGCAGATGATGTGAAGTTAATGAGGAGAATTAAATCAGATGCAGACCAGACAGGTCTACAAAGAGACCTGGACAGGCTGGATGCGTGGTCCAGCAACTGGCTCCTAGAATTTAACCCCGCCAAATGCAAAGTCATGAAGATCGGAGAAGGTCAAAGAAGACTGCAGACAGAGTATAGGCTAGGAGGCTGAAGACTGCAAACCTCACTTGAGGAGAAAGATCTAGGAGTGAGTACAATACCGAGTACATCGCCAGAAGCACACATTAACTAGATAACTGCTGCAGCATATGAGCGCCTGGCAAACCTGAGAATAGCGTTCCGGTACCTCAGTAAGGAATCGTTCAAGACTTTATACACTGTGTATGTCAGGCCCATACTGGAGTACGCAGCACCAATTTGGAACCCACACCTGGTCAAACACATCAAGAAAATTAGAGAAAGTGCAAAGGTTTGCAACAAGGCTGGTTCTAGAGCTAAGGGGAATGTCCTATGAAGAAAGGTTAAGGGAAATCAGTCTGACAAAACTGGAGGACAGCAGGGTCAGGGGAGACATGATAACGACATACAAAACACTGCGTGGAATAGATAAGGTGGACAGAGACAGGATGTTCCAGAGATAGGACACAGAAACAAGGGATCACAATTGGAAGCTGAAGACTCAGATGAGTCAAAGGGATGTTAGGAAGTATTTCTTCAGCCACAGAGTTGTTAGGAAATGGAACAGTTTGGCAAGCGATGCAGTGGAGGCAGGAACTATACACAGTTTTAAGACAAGGTATGATAAAGCTCATGGAGCAGGGAGAGGAAGGACCCAGTAGCGGTCAGTTAAGAGGCAGGGCCAGGAGCTGAGTCTGAACCCCTGCAACCACAATCAGGCGAGTACAATTAGGTGAGTACAGCTCACACATCGCCTGGTGAACAGAGAGCAATCAGTAAATAACAAAAAGGCACAATACCATGACTGGTACAATACATACAGTCACTCACTCTCTCACTCTCTCCATACCTCATAGTCAATATACCCTGAAGTGGTGAGGTTTCCTGTAATGTTACCCGTACAAGAGTCTAGCCCAGGAACGAAGCCGAGGTACTTAGGCATGAGTATCCTCACCGCAGCTGTATTGGCTTCAAGAGTGGAAACGTTCACAACGTGATATGCTTGTAACGTCAGCTCCACCCGCTCCCTGTTGAATGAAGATTGAGACATGAATGAAGGAAAGGCTAGTTTCAAGAGTAATGTTTCTTTATCACTATTATTGGATGGAGGATCGAACCTCCACTTTATTATATTGTAATATTCAAAACTGATATGCAGGAAAGAAATGACTCTGAAAGTAAGGCTTCATTAGTTTAGTTTAGTTAGTTTAATATCTTTATTATACATTAGAGAACATTTTGCTCAAATGCTTAGAATTTACCTCTGAGTAAAACATTTCATTAACATTACTTTGTTGAAAGTGACATTTAACCGAGGTTACTTTGCTGTAAGTAATATTTAACTGAAGTTACTTTCATATTTTACTAAGATTACTTTGTTGTAAGTGACTTAGCATGACAACACACGAGTTTTGCACTTCATGAATATATTATGAAAAATCAAGACATGATTGTATGAAAGACGTAATGCATTAGTCTGACTTATAAAGATTCATCCACAGTGATTGGTGAGAGACCTTTCAGTAATCAGAGGATAGGCAATCAAGCTTTCAAAGCAACAATGATTTTGCCATATCACCAGGGCCGGATTACCGCATAGGCAAACTAGGCATTTGCCTAGGGCCCCGCGCATTTGGGGGCCCCGCGGTCCAAGGGGTTCAGGGGCTCATCCAAGACTGCGCACATGGTGCAAGTGCAAAGGGGTCCCTACCTAAAAAGTTCAAGTGTTTGGAGAGTAAAATTGATTTTTAAAAATTAATCAAAACAAAAATAAATAATGAAATAAAATAAAATAAAAATAAATAAACCTAACCATAGATGGCAACACTCAACACGCCTTTGTTTACATCAGAACAGCTGTGTTTTCCCACTAATGGGTGAGTATGGGAGATTCCTCTCCAATTTTCTGTAGTTTATATGATTTGATAGTCTTATGCATGATGCAATGATGATAATAATGGTCAGTGATTTATAAAGGGAATAATAGTGCTGTAGTGGTTATGCTGAATATAATAGGTACATGATGTCACTACTTTAATAGCCTAATCTAGTAATACTATGTTGTCTTGAGTTTATTCTCTTTAAAATGCATGATTTAACAAGATAGTTATAATGGCTGTTGGTAAATGGTTTTGGTTGTCTTGATGTACTTTCCCTATTAAATTTAATCTAAATAGCCAGAATGCATTTAATTAGACCTTAAACAGGCTCACACCGACCCCCCCCCACCCCCAAGCTGGAAGGGGTCGCTTCGCTTACCCGTAATTCAAAGGGGCCCCGCCAATCTGAATAGCCTAGGGCCCAGAGACTTCTTAATCCGGCCCTGCATATCACTGTTGCTTTATCTCCATGAGTTCAAAATATATTTGATGCTGAAAATATTAAATAAATGTGGGCTGGGCTATGGAAGTTTGGATAAGAATTAAGTTAAATTATACAGCTTCAGTTTTTAGCTTGGCTTTGGAAAGCTGTCAGGTTATATATTGGTGATCAGACACACCAACCAGTGATAGTTTACCCCACTGACACTCGTATGTTAATATTCCACCATACACACTTCTTTATACACTCAACCATATTATCACCTCCTTCACATTAACACCCCATCACATTAGCACCCTTCCATGCTAGCACCTTTCCATGCTAACACCCCCTCCATGCAAAAACCCCCTCCATGCTAACACCCCCTCCATGCTAACACCCCCTCCATGCTAACACCACCTCCATGTTAACACCCCTCCACATTAACACTACTCCAACACTTAAAAAGAAAGATTAAAATGAAAGAGAAAGTATTTTGGGAGTGATGAAATCCAAAAAGACTCTCCTCCTAAGACCACAGCAGCGCAGACGCCAGCTTACCCTTGTGAAAAGAGGGTGGTTGTGTTGTCTGTCAAGAAGATATTAGTGACAACGCTCATTACTTGTGTTGCTGTCTTATCCAGAGTCAGAGGCACAGTGATGACGAAAATCTTATCGGCAGCCTGTAAGGGGAAAAAATATTACTCACATTGGAACAAGGAACTGGAAATAAATGCATTAAAGTTTGGAAATATGTTAAGAATTTTTTTTGTATATTTTACTTGTATAAATCTGCAATGCCTATGCAATATGTAATATAATTAATTATTTAGGTTTAAAGCCTGTCACCAGTGAATGACTTGTGTAGAATAGTTTATTGATTCTGACATTTTCCTTCCAGTTCTCTCACCTTTATAGCAAAGTGTATGTTAATGGTGGCTCCGTTAGTGGCATTTGGGTGGTCTGCTATCCAGATATCTGCTTCGATCCATAGCTGATCATCTTGTACTTGGTAGCTGTGCTGATAGTAGCTCAGCCCTGAGCAGGTGTAAAAGAAACATTAACAGTTGTGGAGAGAGTGCTGAGGGAGAGAAGGCTGACAGGCATGGAGTCTGACAGTGGTGAATGGCTGGAGAGGAGAGACAGTGGTGGAGACCTCTACATATGAGTTTAATCTGTTCCGTGACCTTGCTTGCATCTGGATTTGCTCATTTGCAAATCCAGATTAATCCATTCCAGCTGTCAGAAGGCACGACAAGATACTTCATATCATAATTCATCTAATATGACATAATAAACAATATAAATAATATACTAACCTGATATATACTCTAGAATAAATAAAATATGTCATTACTCTCTCCAGGTAAACTCCAGGTAAACACATGTGGCGGCATCAGCGGATGAGAGTTTGTCTGGAGACAGGACAAAATAATCCTTGAATATTTCGCTAATATATCAACTCTATGGGTCATCTATCACAATTCATCTAACATGACATAGTAAACAATATAAATAACATAGAAACCTGATATATACTCTAGAATGAATAAAATATGTCATTATGTGCCAAGTGGCGGCAGCCACAACCGCTCAAGCACTGTTGTGGTATTCACTGCCATCTAGTGACAGCCTTTCGAAGCTATCTATTATTATAATTATTATATTGTACATTATTATTATACATGTATTATTATTATTATTATTATAATATATTATATTATTATTATACATACATGTATATATTATTATTATTATTACAATATAAATAATTTGACAATTTTCTTCTTCTTATTCTTTTTAGTAATCTTTACAGGAAAAGGGGTTACTAGCCCATTGTTCCCGGCATTTTAGTTGACTTTTACAACACGCATGGCTTACGGAGGAAAGATTCTTATTCCACTTCCCCATGGATATAAAAGGAAAATTAATAAGACCAAGAACTATTAAGATAAAATCAAAGAAAACTCAGATGAGTGTGTATAAATAAATGTGTACATGTATGTGTAGTGTGACCTAAGTGTAAGTAGAAGTAGCAAGACATGCCTGTAATCTTGCATATTTATGAGACAGACAAAAGACATCAGCAATCCTACCATCATGTAAAACAATCACAGGCTTTCGTTTTACACTCACTTGGCAGGACGGTAGTACCTCCCTGGGAGACGGCCGACTTGTTGAAAAAAAAAAAAAAATAAATAAATAAATAATTTGGAATTTTTATTCGCACAAAAAATAGAAGATTTGCTGTTATGCAGACTACTGAATTATTGTAATAATTGTATAAATAATGTCAACCTATTCATGACTGCATATAGGAATGGAGGTGACATCATTTGTTTACCCTTGAACATCGCCAAAGAACTGAATATTTCTGCTACTTTGAGCTCAATTTCAAGGGTACTCTCCATCGTGAAACCAATCAAAATCAAATCTATTTCTGTAATATATTTTCCATTCTATCAAATGAGACCAAAAAAACGCTAATACAACCATAAAAAACATACGAAAAATACCGCTAAGGGGTGGCTAATGGCTGAGAAGTGAACTCTTATTTATGGTCCAATTTCTTTAATTTTTGGTGTACATTAAGAAGCATCTTTCCATCATACATTGCCCATGTTTCAATAAGATAGTACAACAAACAACTGAGATCCACTTCCCTAGATCAGGAGCAAGAGCCCCTCACCAGCATCAAGGAACCTCCCTCGAGGCCTCTCACATCTGGAAATTTCCCTCGTATCTGGAAGCAAAAAATTGACCGATCGACTGCTTGTATCTGGAAAAACTCGCATGTGGATGCACTCGTTAGTAGAGGTCCCACTGTATATTCAAATTCAATTTCAAATTTTTATTTCTTTGCAAAGCTTACAATGTGTGACTGACATATTATAAGGAGTCTATTTCCATGCATAGTTTACAATGTTTAATTATTTATTTATTTAATTATTATCACACTGGCCGATTCCCACCAAGGCAGGGTGGCCCGAAAAAGAAAAAACTTTCACCATCATTCACTCCATCACTGTCTTGCCAGAAGGGTGCTTTACACTACAGTTTTTAAACTGCAACATTAACACCCCTCCTTCAGAGTGCAGGTACTGTACTTCCCATCTCCAGGACTCAAGTCCGGCCTGCCGGTTTCCCTGAACCCCTTCATAAATGTTACTTTGCTCACACTCCAACAGCACGTCAAGCATGGAAAACCATTTGTCTCCATTCACTCCTATCAAACACGCTCACGCATGCCTGCTGGAAGTCCAAGCCCCTCGCACACAAAACCTCCTTTACCCCCTCCCTCCAACCTTTCCTAGGCCGACCCCTACCCCGCCTTCCTTCCACTACAGACTGATACACTCGAAGTCACTCTGTTTCGCTCCATTCTCTCTACATGTCCGAACCACCTCAACAACCCTTCCTCAGCCCTCTGGACAACAGTTTTGGTAATCCCGCACCTCCCTCTAACTTCCAAACTACGAATTCTCTGCATTATATTCACACCACACATTGCCCTCAGACATGACATCTCCACTGCCTCCAGCCTTCTCCTCGCTGCAACATTCATCACCCATGCTTCACACCCATATAAGAGCGTTGGTAAAACTATACTCTCATACATTCCCCTCTTTGCCTCCAAGGACAAAGTTCTTTGTCTCCACAGACTCCTAAGTGCACCACTCACCCTTTTCACTTCATCAATTCTATGATTCACCTCATCTTTCATAGACCCATCCGCTGACACGTCCACTCCCAAATATCTGAATACATTCACCTCCTCCGTACTCTATCCCTCCAATCTGGTATCCAATCTTTCATCACCTAATCTTTTTGTTATCCTCATTACCTTACTCTTTCCTGTATTCACTTTTAATTTTCTTCTTTTGCACACCCTACCAAATTCATCCACCAATCTCTGCAACTTCTCTTCAGAATCTCCCAAGAGCACAGTGTCATCAGCAAAGAGCAACTGACAACTCCCACTGTGTGATTCTTTATCTTTTAACTCCACGCCTCTTGCCAAGACCCTCGCATTTACTTCTCTTACAACCCCATCTATAAATATATTAAACAACCACGGTGACATCACACATCCTTGTCTAAGGCCTACTTTTACTGGGAAATAATTTCCCTCTTTCCTACATACTCTAACTTGAGCCTCACTATCCTCGTAAAAACTCTTCACTGCTTTCAGTAACCTACCTCCTACACCATACACCTGCAACATCTGCCACATTGCCCCCCAATCCACTCTGTCATACACCTTTTCCAAATCCATAAATGCCACAAAGACCTCTTTAGCCTTATCTAAATACTGTTCACTTATATGTTTCACTGCAAACACCTGGTCCACACATCCCCTACCTTTCCTAAAGCCTCCTTGTTCATCTGCTATCCTATTCTCCGTCTTACTCTTAATTCTTTCAATAATAACTCTAACTCTACCATACACTTTACCAGGTATACTCAACAGACTTATCCCCATATAGTTTTTGCACTCTCTTTTGTCCCCTTTGCCTTTATACAAAGGAACTATGCATGCTCTCTGCCAATCCCTAGGTACCTTACCCTCTTCCATACATTTATTAAATAATTGCACCAACCACTCCAAAACTATATCCCCATCTGCTTTTAACATTTCTATCTTTATCCCATCAATCCCGGCTGCCTTACCCCCTTTCATTTTACCTACTGCCTCACGAACTTCCCCCACACTCACAACTGGCTCTTCCTCACTCCTACAAGATGTTATTCCTCCTTGCCCTATACACGAAATCACAGCTTCCCTATCTTCATCAACATTTAACAATTCCTCAAAATATTCCCTCCATCTTCCCAATACCTCTAACTCTCCATTTAATAACTCTCCTCTCCTATTTTTAACTGACAAATCCATTTGTTCTCTAGGCTTCCTTAACTTGTTAATCTCACTCCAAAACCTTTTCTTATTTTCAACAAAATTTGTTGATAACATCTCACCCACTCTCTCATTTGCTCTCTTTTTACATTGCTTCACCACTCTCTTAACCTCTCTCTTTTTCTCCATATACTCTTCCCTCCTTGCATCACTTCTACTTTGTAAAAACTTCTCATATGCTAACTTTTTCTCCCTTACTACTCTCTTTACATCATCATTCCACCAATCGCTCCTCTTCCCTCCCGCACCCACTTTCCTGTAACCACAAACTTCTGCTGAACTCTCTAACACTACATTTTTAAACCTACTCCATACCTCTTCCACCCCATTGCCTATGCTCTCATTAGCCCATCTATCCTCCAATAGCTGTTTATATCTTACCCTAACTGCCTCCTCTTTTAGTTTATAAACCTTCACCTCTCTCTTCCCTGATGCTTCTATTCTCCTTGTATCCCATCTACCTTTTACTCTCAGTGTAGCTACAACTAGAAAGTGATCTGATATATCTGTGGCCCCTCTATAAACATGTACATCCTGAAGTCTACTCAACAGTCTTTTATCTACCAATACATAATCCAACAAACTACTGTCATTTGCCCTACATCATATCTTTGTATACTTATTTATCCTCTTTTTCTTAAAATATGTATTACCTATAACTAAACCCCTTTCTATACAAAGTTCAATCAAAGGGCTCCCATTTTCATTTACACCTGGCACCCCAAACTTACCTACCACACCCCTCTCTAAAAGTTTCTCCTACTTTAGCATTCAGGTCCCTACCACAATTACTCTCTCACTTGGTTCAAAGGCTCCTATACATTCACTTAACATCTCCCAAAATCTCTCTCTCTCTTCTACATTCCTCTCTTCTCCAGGTGCATACACGCTTATTATGACCCACTTTTCACATCCAACCTTTACTTTAATCCACATAATTCTTGAATTTACACATTCATATTCTCTTTTCTCCTTCCATAACTGATACTTCAACATTACTGCTACCCCTTCCTTTGCTCTAACTCTCTCAGATACTCCAGATTTAATTCCATTTATTTCCCCCCACCGAAACTCCCCTACCCCCTTCAGCTTTGTTTCGCTTAGGGCCAGGACATCCAACTTCTTTTCATTCATAACATCAGCAATCATCTGTTTCTTGTCATCTGCACTACATCCACGCACATTCAAGCATCCCAGTTTTATAAAGTTTTTTTCTTCTCTTTTTTAGTAAATGTCTACAGGAGAAGGGGTTACTAGCCCATTGCTCCCGGCATTTTAGTCGCCTCATATGACACGCATGGCTTACGGAGGAAAGATTCTTTTCCACTTCCCCATGGACAATAGAAGAAATAAAGAAGAACAAGAGCTATTTAGAAAAAGGAGAAAAACCTAGATGTATGTATATATATATGCATGTGCGTGTCTGTGAAGTGTGACCAAAGTGTAAGTAGAAGTAGCAAGATATCCCTGTTATCTAGCGTGTTTATGAGACAGAAAAAGAAACCAGCAATCCTACCATCATGCAAAACAGTTACAGGTTTCTGTTTCACAGTCATCTGGCAGGACAGTAGTACTTCCCTGGGTGCTTGCTGTCTACCAACCTACTACCTACAAAAATATAATTTTAAGCCTGCCTGTAATGCTTTGGCATGCTGCTCTTACCTGTGTTTTTTGTACCTCTGTATGTATGTTCAAATTATTAAATAAATAAATGAATATATATATATATATATATATATATATATATATATATATATATATATATATATATATATATATATATATATATCTTCTTCTTCTTCTTCTTCTTCTTTCAACGTACCAGCCGTATCCCACTGAGGTGGGGTGGCCCAAAAGAAAAAACTGAAGTTTCTCCTTTTAAATTTAGTAATATATACAGAAGAAGGGGTTACTAGCCCCTTGCTCCCGGCATTTTAGTCGCCTCTTACGACACGCATGGCTTACAGAGGAAGAATTCTGTTCCACTTCCCCATGGAGATAAGAGGAAATAAACAAGAACAAAAATTAGAAAGAAAATAGAAGAAAACCCAGAGGGGTGTGTATATATATGCTTGTACATGTATGTGTAGTGTGACCTAAGTGTAAGTAGAAGTAGCAAGACTTACCTGTAATCTTGCATATTTATGAGACAGACAAAAGACACCAGCAATCCTACCATCATGTAAAACAATTACAGGCTTTCGTTTTACACTCACCTGGCAGGACGGTAGTACCTCCCTGGGCGGTTGCTGTCTACCAACCTACTACCTACAAAAATATAATTTTAAGCCTGCCTGTAATGCTATGCATACAAGTGGCTTTGGCATGCTGCTCTTACCTGTGTTTTTTGTACCTCTGTATGTATGTTCAAATTATTAAATAAAATAAATGAATATATATATCTTTCTTTCTTTCTTTCAACACACCGGCCGTATCCCACCGAGGCGGGGTGGCCCAAAAGGAAAAACGAAAGTTTCTCCTTTTACATTTAGTAATATATACAGGAGAAGAGGTTACTAGCCCCTTGCTCCCGGCATTTTAGTTGCCTCTTACAACACGCATGGCTTACGGAGGAAGAATTCTGTTCCACTTCCCCATGGAGATAAGAGGAAATAAACAAGAATAAGAACTAGAAAGAAAATAGAAGAAAACCCAGAGGGGTGTGTATATATGTGCTTGTACATGTATGTGTAGTGTGACCTAAGTGTAAGTAGAAGTAGCAAGACTTACCTGTAATCTTGCATATTTATGAGACAGACAAAAGACACCAGCAATCCTACCATCATGTAAAACAATTACAGGCTTTCGTTTTACACTCACCTGGCAGGACGGTAGTACCTCCCTGGGCGGTTGCTGTCTACCAACCTACTACCTACAAAAATATAATTTTAAGCCTGCCTGTAATGCTATGCATACAAGTGGCTTTGGCATGCTGCTCTTACCTGTGTTTTTTGTACCTCTGTATGTATGTTCAAATTATTAAATAAAATAAATGAATAATATATATATATATATATAATATATATATATATATATATATATATATATTATATATATATAATATATTTCTCTTTCTTTCAACACACCGGCCGTATCCCACCGAGGCGGGGTGGCCCAAAAGGAAAAACGAAAGTTTCTCCTTTTCTTTCTTTCTTTCAACACACCGGCCGTATCCCACCAAGGCGGGGTGGCCCAAAAGGAAAAACGAAAGTTTCTCCTTTTACATTTAGTAATATATACAGGAGAAGAGGTTACTAGCCCCTTGCTCCCGGCATTTTAGTTGCCTCTTACAACACGCATGGCTTACGGAGGAAGAATTCTGTTCCACTTCCCCATGGAGATAAGAGGAAATAAACAAGAATAAGAACTAGAAAGAAAATAGAAGAAAACCCAGAGGGGTGTGTATATATGTGCTTGTACATGTATGTGTAGTGTGACCTAAGTGTAAGTAGAAGTAGCAAGACGTACCTGAAATCTTGCATGTTCATGAGACAGAAAAAAGGACACCAGCAATCCTACCATCATGTAAAACAATTACAGGCTTTCGTTTTACACTCACTTGGCAGGACGTAGTACCTCCCTGGGCGGTTGCTGTCTACCAACCTACTACCTACAAAAATATAATTTTAAGCCTGCCTGTAATGCTATGCATACAAGTGGCTTTGGCATGCTGCTCTTACCTGTGTTTTTTGTACCTCTGTATGTATGTTCAAATTATTAAATAAAATAATAATGAAATATATATATATATATATATATATATATATATATATATATAATATATATATATATATATATATATATCTATCATCAACCACACACACAAGGAATTCGCGATAGCAGGCGAAATATACACAAACACTGATCTCTGGCTGAAAGAGACTCGAACCTACGAACTTTAGGACAAGGTGCACAGTGCTTTACCAATCTACCCACACTGGACAATACCTTGGCATGTAGTTTGCGCTACACGTTTGATCCAAGGCAGCCAGCTTTCAGGGAGAAGGCTTACAGCTTTTCATCTCATCCCCTGCATGCATCAGCCTTACTAGAGATTTGAACAAAGCAAGGAATTCGCGAGAGCAGGCAAAATATACACAAACACTGATCTCTGGCTGAAGGAGACTCGAACCTACGAACCTTAGGATAAGGTACGCAGTGCTTTACCACGCCATTGTATTGTCCAGTGTGGGTAGATTGGTAAAGCACTGCGTACCTTGTCCTAAGGTTCGTAGGTTCGAGTCATGCTCACTCTGCAGGTACACGAGATCAGTGTTCAATTTAACCTTAAACATGGAACAGTGTGCTCGCAGTTAATGACTCGAAGATACAGACAAGTCAGCCAAGGGAAGGCTTACCTGTGTTAGTGATGTAGAGTAAGCTGGAAGTGAGAGTATCTGTCTGGGAGGGATGGATCATGGGCATTGACAAGGAGGAGTTCTGTATTATAGAAGGCTTGTAGAGAGAGCAGTTCTGTAGTAGGCAACCCAGGTTGCGGCTGGCCAAACCCGGGACAAATCTACCAGAATTAGGAAAGTCACAATTTAGATTAATATTATATGTATATATATTAGATATAGATATTAGAGTAGCAAATAAGAAAACCATAAATTCCACCAATACGACATCTGTCTTTGCAAACATACAGGGTCTAAAGCCGTCAAAAAACAACAAAATTCCTTACAAGGGACTGCTCACGAAGTCAAATGCAATGTTTGCAACATTCACAGAGACCCACATAAAGGATCACTATGACAACGAAATATGGATCCCAGGTTATAATCTATTCCAATGCGACAGACTAACCAAGCAACAAAGGGGTTGTTGGCCTGTATGTCACAGAGTCGCTCATTTGCAAAGAACTACTAAACACCTTAAATGATGCAGTTGAAGTTTTGGCAGTAAAGATCGAAAACCAAAACCTTGTCATTGTGGTAGTATACAAGCCTCCAGATGCAACTTCCTAGCAATTCCAAGAGCAGCTTGAGAAAATTGACCACTGTCTGGAAAATCTCTCAACTCCTGCCCCAAACATCTTACTACTAGGAGATTTCAACCTGAGACACCTAAAATGCTTGAGTATAGCAAACAGTGTTTTAGCAGAGATTACTCGGGGAGGTAGCACAGATGAAAATTCACACACACACGAACTACTAAATCTCTGCAACAAATTCACCTTAAACCAGCAAATAGTAGAGCCTACAAGACTAGAAAATACAATGGACCTCATCTTCACTAACAATGATGATCTGATACAATTCACTCAGATCACAACATAATAGGTACAGATATGTATGCACAGGGCTCCAGACCAGCAAAATGTGAGCAGTCACGGTCGCATTGTGAAATTCAATTTCAATAACAAAAACATACAATGGGACCAAGTAAACCATGTTCTTGAGATCTGCTCAAGGCACATTCCATTAAGAAAAAGAAAGTGAAGACGTAAACTAGAAAGAGAGACGTTCCCTATACAGACAAAGGCGAAGAGTCACAGAGCTGCTGAGTGGGGTCAATATATCTGAAATACGAAGGGAAGCACTAGTCAATGAAATTGCAAATATCGAACTTAAGCTGAAGGAATCTTATAGGAGATAAGAATCACAGGAAGAACTAAAAGCCATAAAGGAAATTGAAAAAACCCAAAATACTTATTCTCTTATGCCAAATCTAAGGGAAAAACAACATCCAGTATTGGCCCCTGCTTAGGCGGGATGGGACATACACAGATGATTCAGTGTTCAGGGATCCACTGCCCACTAAGGGTTGACAATCCAAATGAATTCTTTATGAATGAAACCCAAAATTTGGTCATCCCAAAACTCTCAGATATTATTATAACTCCACAGGATTTTGAAGAGGCAATTAATGACATTCTCATGCACTCTGCCCCAGGCCCAGACTCGTTGAACTCCGTGTTCATCAAGAACTGCAAGAAGTCCCTATTGCATGCCTTCAGCATTTTATGGAGAGGAAGCATGGACATAGGGGTCATCCTACACACACTAAAAACAACAGACATAGCCCCACTCTACAAAGGTGGCAGTAAAGCAACTACAAAGAACTACAGACTGACAGCACTAACATCCCGTATCATAAAAATCTTTGAGAGGGTTCTAAGAAGCAAGATAGCCTACCACCTAGATACCCATCAGTTACACAACCCAGGGCAACACAGGTTTATAGCAGGTCGCTCCTGCCTGTCCCAGCTACTGGACCACTATGACAAGGTCCTGGATGCTGTTGAGGTTAAGCAAAATATAGATATAGTATACACAGACTTTGCAAAAGCTTTCAACAAGTGTGACCATGGTGTAATAGCACACAAAATGTGGGATAAAGGAATAACGGGGAAAGTTGGTAGATGTATCTACAACTTCCTGACAAATAGAACAAAGAGTAATAGTAAACAGAATAGTGTCCCAGGCAGCCATGGTAAAAAGCTCTGTCCCACAAGGCACAGTACTTGCTCCCATTCTATTCCTCATCCTCATTTCTGACAGAGATGTAAGCCATAGCTCCATGTCTTCCTCTGCGGATGGCACCTGGATCACCATGGCAGTGACCTCCATCAAAGATACTGCGAGACTCCAAGCGGACATCAACCAAATCTTTGAATGGACTACGCAAAACAATATGAAGTTCAACGAGGAGAAATTTCAACTAGTACTCAGATATGGAAAACTTGAAGAAATTAAAAATGTGTCAGGGTATGCCACAAATTCTAACCATACAATAGTGGAAAAGTAATGCGAAGGATCTGGGAGTGATAATGTCAGAGGATCTCGCCTTCAAAGACCACAACAACGTATCTACCTCATCCGCTTGGAAAATGATAGGATGGATAATGAGAACCTTCAAAACTAGGGATGCCAAGCCCATGATGATTCTCTTCAAATCGTTTGTGCTATCTAGGATGGAATACTGCTGTACACTAATGGCCTCCTTCGAGGCTGGTAACATTGCAGACCTGGAGAGTGTATAAAGAACTTTCACGGCACACATAGGTGCTGTAAGGCACCTAAATTACTGGGAACAGTTGAAGGTCCTTGATCTGTATTCCCTGGAACGCAGGCAAGAGATACATGATAATATACACTTTCAATTCAAATTCAATTCAATTCAAAGTTTATTCTCTATAAGGATTACAATGTTGAATTTACAGAATTTGGTTATTGTGTGGTTTACATGTAGTTAAATAATGATTACAGAGTGTACCACTAGAACTTGGAAGGTCCTGGAGGGATTGGTACCAAACCTGCACACGAAAATCACTCCATATGAAAGCAAAAGACTCAGCAGGAGATGCAACATTTCCCCGATGAAAAGTAGGGATGCCACGAGTACATCGAGAGACAACACAATAAGTGTCCTGGGCCCAAGACTGTTCAATTGTCTCCCGACATACATAAGGGGGATTACCAATTGACCCCTGGCTGTCTTCAAGATGGCACTGGATGGGAGGAATGATTTTGCCTTTTTTTTCTAATTTTAATGAAATTTTTCCTGTGAATTAAGCAGCATTTGAAACACAGATAGAAAAAAAATAAAATTGTTATATTCTATAAGTCTTACAAGATTCCTCTTTCAACAAATTTGTTAAGATGTACAATGTTCTAGCTGACATCAGACGAAAGATAAAGAGCTAGATAATCATCAGATAGAGGGGAATGAGCGAAATGTCAATAGACTGCATTATACAAAATGTTGAAATTTGCTTTTTTTTTTTTGAGGAAAAAACCCATAAAAACAAAACAGTACTACATATCACAAATCCCTTCTCTTGGAATATAGAACAATCATTCCTCAATAACTTGTGAAAAAAGCATGATGCTCCTATAAAAACTCTTTGCAAAAAAAAAAGGAAAATAAGAACAATAACTTATTCCTGAGTTATTCATGTACATAATTTGCATGAAACACTAGGGTGGCCGGGCGCCACCTTTCACTGACCATCATAACTCCACCCTCATCGGCGACTCATAAGTCACTGAGGTGCTGGTGGCGTGAGCAGTGATCACTAGCCAACTCAGGAGATGCCAACAAGTATATCTGGATAGAAACAATCATAAAAATCGTAATTTCTGGAGTAGAAAAAAATAAAAACACCCGAATTGACATCCTGTCATCTTGACCTCAGCAGAAAAAAAAAAAATAGAAAAAGATACTTAGAAATGTGCTAGAAACAAGCTGATGACATCAAAATGATGCCAGAATTATGCGCTATTTTTTTGGTAAGAAAACTTTTTTCTTTTCAAAATTTTTCAATTTTTTTTCAGAGATAGTCTCGCAGAGTGTTCTTTCCCCCTAAAGTCAGTACCTGACCAACCTGGGTGTGGTTCGTATGTCAGCTTGTGTGCGGCCAGCAGTAACAGCCTGGTTGATCAGACCCTGATGCACCCTGAGGCCTGGTCTCAGACCGGGCCACGGGGGCATTGACCCCCGAAACCCTCTCCAGGTAATGCTGTGCCGAATAAGTAAAACTTGCAATATTGGCTTCAATAGCAACGCTCTTCTTGCTGAATAAGGCAAGCAAAAATTTGGGTATGCAATAATTTCGAAAAAATAATTCTGAACCTAAAAAAAAATATATATTTCACTGTGATTGTTTATTAATAAATTACCGTACGCTTATCTAAAACATATTTAGTTGGAATAGGTTAAATTAAATTGTGCTTATAATAAGGTTAGGTAAGCTTTCTAATGTTCTTTTGGTAGACAATTATTAAATTTTATTTAATAAATGTATGGAAGAGGGTAAGGTACCTAGGGATTGGCAGAGAGCATGCATAGTTCCTTTGTATAAAGGCAAAGGGGATAAAAGAGAGTGCAAAAATTATAGGGGGATAAGTCTGTTGAGTGTACCTGGTAAAGTGTATGGTAGAGTTATAATTGAAAGAATTAAGAGTAAGACGGAGAATAGGATAGCAGATGAACAAGGAGGCTTTAGGAAAGGTAGGGGGTGTGTGGACCAGGTGTTTACAGTGAAACATATAAGTGAACAGTATTTAGATAAGGCTAAAGAGGTCTTTGTGGCATTTATGGATTTGGAAAAGGCGTATGACAGGGTGGATAGGGGGGCAATGTGGCAGATGTTGCAAGTGTATGGTGTAGGAGGTAGGTTACTGAAAGCAGTGAAGAGTTTTTACGAGGATAGTGAGGCTCAAGTTAGAGTATGTAGGAAAGAGGGAAATTTTTTCCCAGTAAAAGTAGGCCTTAGACAAGGATGTGTGATGTCACCGTGGTTGTTTAATATATTTATAGATGGGGTTGTAAGAGAAGTAAATGCGAGGGTCTTGGCAAGAGGCGTGGAGTTAAAAGATAAAGAATCACACACAAAGTGGGAGTTGTCACAGCTGCTCTTTGCTGATGACACTGTGCTCTTGGGAGATTCTGAAGAGAAGTTGCAGAGATTGGTGGATGAATTTGGTAGGGTGTGCAAAAGAAGAAAATTAAAGGTGAATACAGGAAAGAGTAAGGTTATGAGGATAACAAAAAGATTAGGTGATGAAAGATTGAATATCAGATTGGAGGGAGAGAGTATGGAGGAGGTGAACGTATTCAGATATTTGGGAGTGGACGTGTCAGCGGATGGGTCTATGAAAGATGAGGTGAATCATAGAATTGATGAGGGAAAAAGAATGAGTGGTGCACTTAGGAGTCTGTGGAGACAAAGAACTTTGTCCTTGGAGGCAAAGAGGGGAATGTATGAGAGTATAGTTTTACCAACGCTCTTATATGGTGTGAAGCGTGGGTGATGAATGTTGCAGCGAGGAGAAGGCTGGAGGCAGTGGAGATGTCATGTCTGAGGGCAATGTGTGGTGTGAATATAATGCAGAGAATTCGTAGTTTGGAAGTTAGGAGGAGGTGCGGGATTACCAAAACTGTTGTCCAGAGGGCTGAGGAAGGGTTGTTGAGGTGGTTCGGACATGTAGAGAGAATGGAGCGAAACAGAATGACTTCAAGAGTGTATCAGTCTGTAGTGGAAGGAAGGCGGGGTAGGGGTCGGCCTAGGAAGGGTTGGAGGGGGGGGGTAAAGGAGGTTTTGTGTGCGAGGGGCTTGGACTTCCAGCAGGCATGCGTGAGCGTGTTTGATAGGAGTGAATGGAGACAAATGGTTTTTAATACTTGACGTGCTGTTGGAGTGTGAGCAAAGTAACATTTATGAAGGGATTCAGGGAAACCGGCAGGCCGGACTTGAGTCCTGGAGATGGGAAGTACAGTGCCTGCACTCTGAAGGAGGGGTGTTAATGTTGCAGTTTAAAAACTGTAGTGTAAAGCACCCTTCTGGCAAGACAGTGATGGAGTGAATGATGGTGAAAGTTTTTCTTTTTCGGGCCACCCTGCCTTGGTGGGAATCGGCCGGTGTGATAATAAAAAATAAAATAATAAAGGAAAAAAATATATCTTTAAACTTACAAGAGAGAGTAGATTAGATTTTGTTACCAAAATGGCTAGTTTATTGTGCACCCCATATCCATCCTGTGGACGGTAGCACAAGAGCATATGGATACACAAAAGGCCTAGGAACTAGGCTCCAAAAGGGTTAAGAGGTGTACATATGGGTTTTTTATCTACAGATCTACAGTTCACTTATCTGTTACAAGCAAATTTAGGAAATTTGCTTAGTATATCTGGTATCTTATTTTCATTTATAAGAAATTTTGACATGTCACATAGGTTAAGATTAAAAAAAAATATATATATATATAATACATACATACATACATACATACATACATAAGAGAGAGAGAGAAGGAAAGTAAGTTGTAAGACTTTACCTGAAGCCATGGACTGTAGCATAGGCTCGGCCAGAATCAGAAGGTGTCATCACACCCACCTGTGGAAGGAGTTAACAGCTAAGGTCTACATGTGGTTTGAGGTTCTTTGTATGTGTGTTTGGGCTCCTCTGAATTTATTGATTAGTTTCTCGTGTTTCACTCAAATTGCTTTCCTGACTCACGAAACCGTAATGACACGATTGCAAACAAACCATACCACTGGTGGGGATAGAACCCGTGATCAGAGAGTCTCAAAACTGACCATCGCGTTAGCCACTAGACCAGCTAGCCACAATAAGATTCGTCCAACTAGGTATATTTCTACACCATAGGAAGGTTAGCATAGGCACCACTGTGACCACAAATGCAAGTTATTTACAGACGAATCTCCAGCTAGCGTGGCCGTGACCGACTCTAGCTCAAGTCCCCTCAAAGCCGTTAACATGACTCACGAAATCATAATGACGCGGGTTCTATCCCCGCCTGTGGTATGGTCTGCTTGCAATCGTGTCATTACGATTTTGTGAGTCATACTAACAGCTTTGAGGGGACTTGAGCTAGAGCTTGTCACGGCCATGCAAGCTGGAGATTCATCTGTAAAAAAACTTGCATTTGCGGTCACAGTGGTGCCTATGCTAACGTTCCTATGGTGTAGAAATATACCTAGTTGGACGAATCTTATTGTGGCTAGCTGGTCCAGTGGCTAACGTGACGGTCTGGAGTTTTGAGACCCTCTGATCGCGGGTTCTATCCCTGCCCGTATTATGGGTTGCTTTCCTGTTGGTGATTTTACTTCTACTTTTACACTGGGATACACACACACAGTAATACATGCATATAAATAGTTGAACACATACACAAGCATTTCTAACTATTACCACTAAATATTCATATTTTCAGACCCCCCCCCCCCCCACACACACACACACAGAGAAGCCAGGAGCTGTGTCCTGACCCATGCAACCAAAATCAGGTGAGTACACACACACACACACACACACACACACACACATTGAAGTATGCAGCACCAGTCTGGAACTCACACCTAGCCAAGGACATAAGGAAACTAGAGAAAATGCAAAGGTTTGCAACAAGACTAGTCCCAGAGCTATGGGGTATGTCCTACGAGGAGAGGTTAAGTGAAATCGACCTGATGACACTGGAAGACAGGAGAGATAGGGGGGATATAATAAAGACACATAAAATACCGAGAGGAATCAACAAGGTGGACAGAGATGGGGCACAGCAACAAGGGGTCGCAGTTGGAAGTTGAAGACTTAGGTGAATTACAGGGGTGTTAGGAAGTATTTCTTCAGTCACAGAGCTGTTAGGAAGTGGAATAGTCTGGAAAGCGAAGCTTGAGAAGACAAACAGAATGCTGATGTAATATTCAGACTTTGTCAAAGCCTTTGACAAGTGTGACCATTGTGTAAGAGCACACAAAATGCATGATAAAGGAATAATAGGAAAAGTTGGTTGATGGATCCATAATTTCCTAACAGGACACAGAGTAGTACTCAAGAGAGTAAAGTCTGAGGCAGCTATGGTGAAAAGCTCTGTTCCACAAGGCACAGTACTCACTCCCATCTTATTCCTCATCATCATATCTGACAGACAGGGATATAAGCCACAGTGCCGTGTCTTCCTTTGCAGATGACACCCAAATCTGCATAACAGTGTCCTCCATTGAAGACACTGCAAGACTCCAGGTGGCCATCAACCAAATCTTTAAATGGGCCACAGAAAACAATATGAAGTTTATTGATGAGAAATTTCAATTACTCCGATATGGAAGACGTGAGGAAATTAAAACTTCATCAGAGTATAAAACAAATTCCAACCACACAATAGAGGGAAAAACTAATGTCAAAGACCTGGGAGTGATCATGTCAGAAGATCTCACCTTCAAAGGCCAAAACATTGCATCAATCCCATCTGCTAGAAAAATGACAGGATGGATAATGAGAACCTTCAAAAGCAGGGATGCCAAGCCCATGATGACACTTTTCAGGTCACTTGTTCTATCTAGGCTGGAATACTGCTGCACACTAACAGCACCTTTCAAGGCAGGTGAAATTGCTTACCTAGAAAATGTACAGAGAACCTTCACAACACTCATAACTGCGATGAAACACCTTAGTTACTGGGAACACTTGAAGCTCCTCAACCTGTACTCCCTAGAACACAGGCAAGAGAGATACATGATTATATACAACTGGAAAATCCTAGAGGGATTAGTACCAAACTTGCACATGAAAATCACTCCCTGTGAAAGCAAAAGACTCGGCAGATGATGCAACATCTTCCCAATGAAAAGCAGGGGTGCCACTAGCACGATAAGACACAACACATTAAGTGTCAGGGGTCCATGACTGTTCAACTGCCTCTCAGCATGCATAAGAAGGATTACCTATAGACCCCAAGCTGTCTTCAAGCAGGCACTGGACAGGCACCTCAAGTTAGTACCTGACCAGCTGGGCTGTGGTTTGTACATCGGGTTGCTTGCAGCCAACAGTAACAGCCTGGTTGATCAGGCCCTGGTCCACCATGAGGCCTGGTCACAGACCGGGCTGTGAGGGCACTGACACCTGGAACTCTCTCCAGGTAGGTATACTCCAGGTAGTGGAGGCAGAATCCATACATAGCTTTAAGAAGAGGTATTATAAAACTCATGGAGCAGGAAGAGTGACCTAGTAGTGACCAGTGAAGATGTGGGGCCAGGAGCTGTGACTCAACCCCTACAACCACACAAGTAGAAGCCGCAGAACCCAGGATAAGGGCCTTAGAATATGAGGTAAATAGGATGAAGCGAGTTACAAGAATATTGTCCAGAGGAGACACAGCATCTGAGGCTAATACACTCCTACTGAACGAGGAGCCCATCGGAAAGGAAGGAGATGTAACTTATGCTAAGGCCCTATTAGTTCACCAAGAAGGGCCGAGGAATGAAGGGAAAGAGCAGTTGGGAGCAGGGATAGTAGTGAGGGAGGGGGGAGAAGATGGCAGGTCACATGCAGAGGCATGACCATGCCACCAGGAGCTACAGGAAAAAGTAAGGGAGACAATGGCCATGTATAAATAGGACCCAGAGACTCAGAAGGAAAGGCAATGGGAGGAGGAGAGGGAGAAGTTAGTGTTTAGTCATGGGCTTAAGGAAAGTGAGGGGAGGACACACAGTGAAAGATGGCAGGAAGAAAAACAAGACATTGAAAACATCATCAAAGAAATAGGCGAAGAGGACATGACTGAGATAGTAAATTTTCAGAGAATAGGGAGGTACTTGAAGGGGAGAAATCAGCCAGTCAAGCAAACCACGACTGAGGGAATCATCAACATACAAGAGGGTGTTTCTAGACAGAGACCAAACAAAAACAGAATGACAGCAGCTGAGAGAGAGGACACAGAAGCAAAAGGGACTAGGAAGAGAGACAAAGACAGAATCAGCAGCAGACAACCAGAGCAGGGCAGAGCAACAAGCACAATGCACATATAACCACACCCAGAACCCCACAACCAAACATGCTATCCCAACACAGACCACAATCCACACTTAGAGCCCCCACCCCATACTATGCTGTAGAATCCCACAGCACACTGCCAGGTCCCCCATCCTCACAGGACAAGAGGGTCAGGGGAGACATGATAACGACATATAAAATACTGTGCGGAATAGATGAGGTGGACAAAGATGGGATGTTCCAGAGATGGGACACAGACACAAGAGGTCACAAATGGAAGTTGAAGACTCAGATGAATCAAAGGGATGTTAGGAAGTATTTCTTCAGTCATAGAGTAGTCAGGCCATGGAATAGCCTAGAAAGTGATGTAGTGGAGGCAGGAACCATACATAGTTTTAAGGCGAGGTATGATAGAGCTCATGGGGCAGGGAGAGAGAGGACCTAGTAGCAATCAGCGAAGAGGCAGGGCCAGGAGCTGTGACTCGACCCCTGCAACCACAAATAGGCGAGTACACATACACGCTTATACAACAGGCCTAGTGTCTAATCGACATGTGCCTAGGACAAAATGGTAACTAACACACACACACACACACACACACACACACAAGGCAGAGAACACACGAAAATAGGGAGATCAGTCGCAGAGCCAGGAACAAGTACGCACAGGTAAGGAGGGAGGCCCAGCGACAGTATGAAAATGATATAGCATCGAAAATCAAGACTGACCCGAAACTGTTGTATAGCCATATCAGGAGGAAGACAACAGTCAAAGACCAGGTGATCAGAAGGGGGAGAACTCACAAGAAATGACCAGGAGGTATGTGAGGAGCTAAACATGACAGTGTCTTCCATTGTGAGGTATGTGAGGAGCTAAACATGACAGTGTCTTCCATTGCAGACACTGCAAGGCTCTAGGCGGACATCAACCAAATCTTTCAGTGGGCTGCAGAAAACAATATGAAGTTCAACGATGAGAAATTTCAATTACTCAGATATGGTGAACATGAGGAAATTAAATCTTCATCAGAGTACAAAACAAATTCTGGCCACAAAATAGAGCGAAACACCAACGTCAAAGACCTGGGAGTGATTATGTCGGAGGATCTCACCTTCAAGGACCATAACATTGTATCAATCGCATCTGCTAGAAAAATGACAGGATGGATAATGAGAACCTTCAAAACTAGGGACGCCAAGCCCATGATGACACTCTTCAGGTCACTTGTTCTATCTAGGCTGGAATATTGCTACACAATAACAACACCTTTCAAGGCAGGTGAAATTGCCGACCTAGAAAATGTACAGAGAACTTTCATGGCGCGCATAACAGAGATAAAACACCTCAATTACTGGGAGCGCTTGAGGTTCCTAAACCTGTATTCCCTGGAACACAGGAGGGAGAGATACATGATTATATACACCTGGAAAATCCTAGAGGGACTAGTACCGAACTTGCACACGAAAATCACTCACTACGAAAGCAAAAGACTTGGCAGACGATGCACCATCCCCCAATGAAAAGCAGGGGTGTCACTAGCACGTTAAGAGACCATACAATAAGTGTCAGGGGCCCAAGACTGTTCAACTGCCTCCCAGCACACATAAGGGGGATTACCAACAGACCCCTGGCAGTCTTCAAGCTGGCACTGGACAAGCACCTAAAGTCAGTTCCTGATCAGCTGGGCTGTGGCTCGTACGTTGGTTTGCGTGCAGCCAGCAGCAACAGCCTGGTTGATCAGGCTCTGATCCACCAGGAGGCCTGGTCACAGACCGGGCCGCGGGGGCGTTGACCCCCGGAACTCTCTCCAGGTAAACTCTCCAGAGACAGGAAGGGCTGTGGGTAGACAGCACAACAAGTGTTGGATGACATACGAACAACCGAGGAGGAAGTGAAGAAGCTGCTAAGTGACCTTGATACCTCAAAGGCGATGGGACCGGACATCTCCCCATGGGTCCTTAGAGAAGGAGCAGAGATGCTGTGTGTGCCTCTAACCACAATCTTCAACACATCCCTTGAAACTGGGCAACTACCTGAGAAATGGTAGACAGCAAATGTAGTCCCCATATTTAAGAAAGGAAACAGAAACGAGGCGCTAAACTACAGACCTGTCTCTCTGACATGTATTGTGTGCAACGTCATGGAGAAGATTATCAGGAGGAGTGGGGTCGAACACCTGGAATGGAACAAGATTATAAATGAAAACCAGCATGGGTTCATGGAAGGCAAATCTTGTATCACAAACCTCCTGGAGTTTTATGACAAGGTAACAGAAGTAAGACACGAGAGAGAGGGGTGGGTTGATTGCGTTTTCCTAGACTGCAGGAAGGCCTTTGACACAGTTCCCCACAAGAGATTAGTGCAGAAGCTGGAGGATCAGGCGCATGTAACAGGGAGGGCACTGCAATGGATCAGGGAATACCTGACAGGGAGGCAGCAACGAGTCATGGTACATGAAGAGGTATCACAATGGGCGCCTGTGACGAGCGGGGTCCCACAGGGGTCAGTTCAAGGGCCAGTGCTATTTTTGATATATGCGAACGACATGATGGAAGGAATAGACTCTGAAGTGTCCCTATTTGCAGATGATGTGAAGTTGATGAGAAGAATTAAATCGGATGAGGATGAGGCAGGACTGCAAAGAGACCTGGACAGGCTGGACATGTGGTCCAGAAACTGGCTTCTCGAATTCAATCCTGCCAAATGCAAAGTCATGAAGATTGGGGAGGGGCAAATAAGACCGCACACAGAGTATAGGCTAGGCGGACAAAGACTACAGACCTCACTCAGGGAGAAAGACCTCGGGGTGACCATAACACCGAGCACGTCACCGGAGGCACACATCAACCAAGTAACTGCTGCAGCATACGGGCACCTGGCAAACCTGAGAATAGCGTTCCGATACCTTAATAAGGAATCGTTCAAGACACTGTACACTGTGTACATCAGGCCCATACTGAAGTATGCAGCACCAGGTTGGAACCCACACCTGGTCAAGCACGTCAAGAAATTAGAGAAAGTGCAAAGGTTTGCAACAAGGCTAGTTCCAGAGCTCATTGGTATGTCCCATGAAGAAAGGTTGAGGGAAATTGGACTGATGAAACTGGAGGACAGGAGGGTCGGGGGAGAAATTATAACGACATAGAAAATACTGCATGGAATAGATAAGGTGGACAGAGACAGGATGTTCCAGAGAGGGGACACAGAAACAAGGGGTCACAATTGGAAACTGAAGACTCAGACGAGTCAGAGGGATGTTAGGAAGTATTTCTTCATAGAGCCGTCAGGAAGTGGAATAGCCTAGCAAGTGATGTACTAGAGGCAGGAACCATACATAGCTTTAAGACGAGGTATGACAGCTCAGGAAGCAGAGAGAGAGGACCTAGTAGCGGTCAGGGAAGAGGCGGGGCCAGGAGCTGAGTCTCATCCCCTGCAACCACAATTAGGTGAGTACACACACAAAGATTGTTCCCTTGTTAACTAGACTAAACAACTGCATACAAACCTCAACATCTGTTGTAACACCCTTGGGAATCGTGAAAGTGACTCCGATCCATGTCCTTAGTCCAGGGGTCACAGTGTTTGTGCCATTATTGATGAGTCCTAGCATCATACCAGTAGTATTGATGAAGCCTGGGCTGTAGGCTGTCGATAGTTTGGTGACTGTGAATGTAACAGGAGCTGCCACTACTGAATTCTCGCTGAGGGCCAGCGAGAGTGTGGCTGTGGAGCCCATGCTGGGTAGGAACATTACACCTACCTGAAGCACTGCCTGGCAAAGGAAAAAAAGAAGTTGAATTTGGAAACATGAGACCTTGAAGATGAAGTATATGACAAAGAGAGGATGTGGGGGGGAGGTGCAAACTTCACTGCATGACATGAATTTCACTACTCTTTCACAGTGGTTGTTTTGCATATTTTAAAATCACCTGTTTACTATGATCTTATTGCATATATATATACAGTGGACCCCCGGTTAACGAACTTTTTTCATTCCAGTAGTATGTTCAGGTGCCAGTACTGACCGAATTTTTTCCCATAAGGAATATTGTGAAGTAGATTAGTCCATTTCAGACCCCCAAACATACACGTACAAACGCACTTACATAAATACACTTACATAATTGGTCGCATTTGGAGGTGATCGTTAAGCGGGGGTCCACTGTATATGCATATTTTTTTTTTTTTTTTTTTTTAACAAGTCGGCCGTCTCCCACCGAGGCAGGGTGACCCAAAAAAGAAAGAAAATCCCCAAAAAGAAAATACTTTCATCATCATTCAACACTTTCACCACACTCGCACATTATCACTGTTTTTGCAGAGGTGCTCAGAATACAACAGTCTAGAAGCATACACATATAAAGATACACAACATATCCCTCCAAACTGCCAATATCCCAAACCCCTCCTTTAAAGTGCAGGCATTGTACTTCCCATTTCCAGGACTCAAGTTCCGACTATATAAAAATAACCGGTTTCCCTGAATCCCTTCACTAAATATTACCCTGCTCACACTCCAACAGATCGTCAGGCCCCAAGTACCATTCGTCTCCATTCACTCCTATCTAACACGCTCACGCACGCTTGCTGGAAGTCCAAGCCCCTCCCCCAAAAAACCCTTCTTTACCCCCTCTCCCCAAACCCCTTTCGAGGACGACCCCTACCCCGCCTTCCCTTTCCCCCTATAGATTTATATGCTTTCCATGTCATTCTACTTTGATCCATTCTCTCTAATGACCAAACCACCTCAACAACCCCTCTTCTGCCTCTGAAAATACTTTTATTAACTCCACACCTTCTCCTAATTTCCAAACTCCGAATTTTCTGCATAATATTTACACCACACTTTGCCCTTAAACAGGACATCCCCACTGCCTCCAAACGTCTCTTCGCTGCTGCATTTACCCCCCAAAGCTTCACACCCATATAAAAGTTTTTGGCACTACTATACTTTCATACATTCCCTTCTTTGCCTCCATAGATAACGTTTTTTGACTCCACATATACCTCAACGCACCACTCACCTTTTTTCCCTTTATCAATTCTATGATTTTAAACCCCATCCTTCATAAATCCATCCGCCGACACGTCAACTCCCCCAAATATCTGAAAACATTCACTTCTTCCATACTCCTCCTCCCCAATTTGATATCCAATTTTTTTTATCTAAATCATTTGACAACCCTCCCTCACCTTACTCTTTTCTATGTTCACTTTCAGCTTTCTTTCCTTTACACACATTCCCAAACTCATCCACTAACCTTTGCAATTTTTCTTTAGAATCTCCCATAAGCACAGTATCATCAGCAAAAAGTAACTGTCAATTCCCATTTTGAATTTGATTCCCCAAAATTTTATCCCACCCTCTCCCGAAACACCCTAGCATTTACTTCCTTTACAACCCCACTATAAATAAAATAAACAACCATGGTGACATTACACATCCCTGTCTAAGCCCCTACTTTTACCGGAAATAGTCTCCCTCTCTTCTACAACACCCTAACCTGAGCCCACAAAGCCTCATAAAAACTCTTTAAACAGCATTTAATAACTTACCACCTATTCCATATACTTGCAACATCTGCCACATTGCCCTCTATCCACTCTATCATATGCCTTTTCTAAATCCAAATGCAATAAAAACTTCCCTACCTTTATCTAAATACTGTTCACATATATGCTTCAATGTAAACACTTGATCTACACATCCCCTACCCACTCTGAAACCTCCTTGCTCATCCGCAATCCTACATTCTGTCTTACCTCTAATTCTTTCAATTATAACCCTACCGTACACTTTTCCTGGTTTACTCAGTAAGCTTAATTCCTTATAATTTTTACAGTCTCTTTTGTCCCCTTTCCCTTTATATAAAGGGACATCCCTGCATATATATGCATATATATACATATATATATTAAAATATATATTTTATATATATATATATATATATATATTATAAAATATATATATATATATATATATATATATATATATATATATATATATATATACCTAGGGATTGGCAGAGAGCATGTTAGTCCCTTTATATAAAGGGAAAGGGGACAAAAGAGACTGTAAAAATTACAGAGGAATAAGCTTACTGAGTATACCAGGAAAAGTGTACGGTAGGGTTATAATTGAAAGAATTAGAGGTAAGACAGAATTACGATTGCGGATGAGCAAGGAGGTTTTAGAGTGGGTGGGATTTGTAGATCGGGTTTGTTTACATTGAAGCATATATGTAACAGTATTAGATAAAGATAAAGGGGGGTTTTTATTGCATTTATGGATTTAGAAAAGGCATATGATAGAGTGGATAGAGGAGCAATGTGGCAGATGTTGCAAGTATATGGAATAGGTGGTAAGTTTTTAAATGCTGTAAAAAGTTTTTATGAGGATAGTTTAAGCTCAGGTTAGGGGGTGTAGAAGAGAGGGAGACTACTTCCCGGTAAAAGTAGGTCTTAGACAGGGATGTGTAATGTCCACCATGGTTGTTTAATATATTTATAGATGGGGTTGTAAAGGAAGTAAATGCTAGGGTGTTTGGGAGAGGGGTGGGGTTAAATTATGGGGAATCAAATTCAAAATGGGAATTGACACAGTTACTTTTTGCTGATGATACTGTGCTTATGGGAGATTCTAAAGAAAAATTGCAAAGGTTAGTGGATGAGTTTGGGATGTGTGTAAAGGTAGAAAGTTGAAAGTGAACATAGAAAAGAGTAAGGTGATGAGGGTGTCAAATGATTTAGATAAAGAAAAATTGGATATCAAATTGGGGAGGAGGAGTATGGAAGAAGTGAAAGTTTTCAGATACTTGGGAGTTTTACGTGTCGGCGGATGGGTTTTATGAAGGATGAGGTTAATCATAGAATTGATGAGGGAAAAAGGTGAGTGGTGCGTTGAGGTATATGTGGAGTCAAAAAACGTTATCTATGGAGGCAAAGAAGGGAATGTATGAAAGTATAGTAGTACCAACACTTTAATGGGTGTTTAAGCTTGGGTGGTAAATGCAGCAGCAAGGAGACGGTTGGAGGGAGCGGAGATGCCCTGTCTAAGGGCAATGTGTGGTGTAAATATTATGCAAAAAATTCGGAGTTGGAAATTAGGAGAAGGTGTGGAGTTAAAAAAAGTTTAGTCAGAGGGCAAAGAGGGTTGTTGAGGTGGTTTGGTCATTTAGGGGAAAATGGATACTAGAATGACAGGGAAAGCATTAAATCTATGGGGGAAGGAAGGGGGGGGGTAGGGGTCGCCCTCGAAAGGGTTGGAGAGAGGGGGAAAAGGAGGTTTGGGGGTAAGGGGCTTGGTTTTTCCGCAAGCGTGCGTGAGGTGTTAATAGGAGTGAATGGAGACGAATGGTATTTGGGACCTGACGTCTTTTGGAGTGGAGAGGGTAATATTTATAAAGGGATTCAGGGAAACGGTTATTTTCATTAGTGGACTTGACCCTGGAAATGGGAAGTAAAAATGCCGCATTTTAAAAGGAGGGGTTGGGATAGGGCATTTGGAGGGATAGTTGTTATCTTTATATGTGATGTTTAGACTGTTGTATTCTGAGCACCTCTGCAAAAACAGTGATAATGTGCGGTGGGGGAAAAAGTTTTTGAATGTATAAAAGTATTTTTTTTTGGGGGATTTTCTTTTTTTTTTGGGGTCACCCTGCCTCGGTGGGAGACGGCCGCTTGTTGAAAAAAAAAAAAAAAAATATATATATACACATTATAATATATATTTATATATATAACATTATATATATATATATATATAAATTATATATATATTATTATACTTATTTTAAAATTTATATATAATATTATATATATTATATATATATATATATATATATATAATATATTATACAATTTTATATATATATATACAATTTAATATTTTTTTTTTTTTTTTTTTTTTTTTTCAACAAGGGGCCCGTCTCCCCCCCGGGCGGGGTGCCCAAAAAAGAAAAAACCCCCAAAAAAAAAATACTTTCATCTATTCAACACTTTCACCACACTCCACATTACACTGTTTTTGCAGAGGTGCTCAGAATACAACATTAGAAGCTAAACATAAAAGATACACAACATATCCCCCCAAACTGCCAATATCCCAAACCCCTCTTTAAAGTGCAGGCATTGTTTTTCCCATTTCCGGACTCAAGCCCACTATAGAAAAAAACCCGGTTTCCCGAATCCCTTCAAAAATTTTTAAACCTGCTCACACTCAACAGATCGTCAGGCCCCAGTACCATTCGTCTCCTTCACCCCTATTAACACGCTCACGACGCTTGCGGAAGCCCAAGCCCCTTCCCCACAAAACCCCCTTTACCCCCTCTTTTTAACCCTTTCGGGACGCCCCCTCCCCCCCCTTTCCTTTCCCCCTATGATTTATATGTTTTCCCATGTCTTTTTACGTGATCCTCTTTAAATGACCAAACACTCAACAACCCTCTTCGGCCTCTGCAAATTTTTTTTATTAACTCCAACCCCTTCTCCAAATTTCCACACCCCCGAATTTTTGCTAATATTAACCCCACACATTGCCTTAAACAGGACTTCGCTGCCCCCCAACCATCTCCTCCTGCTGCTTTACCACCCAAGTTCACCCATTAAGGGTTTTGGTTTTACTACTTTACTTTCTACATTCCCTTCTTTGCTCCATAGATAACGTTTTTGACTCCCAATACCTCAACGCACCCTCCCCTTTTTTTTCCCTCATCAATTCATGATTAATATATATATATATATTAATTAATATATATTAATTATATATAATAT